ATATATTTTACAATATATTCAATTAACGATATCTTCAAAGTACGTACGGAGATTGCCACTGTGAAAAAAGTTTACAATAACTGATGGGCCAATCTTTAAAGGTCTCTAATTGATATTAAAAAAAAAAAAAAAAAAAAAAAAAAAAAAACAAGACTTATATAAATCTGAAGCGAAATATGATATCTCGTGAAATATTTTTCCCCATTTGCATAAAATATATTGAATTTTTTAAATATATTGGAAGAATTTTGCAGAATGTCGAATTTTTACCTATTTTTTATGTACGTTAGCCATTGCATAATTTCACAACATAATTATAGTATATAAATGTATATTTAATTAAAATTTTATTTAAAAAAACGAATTATAATACATATTTTTATTTTATTGAATACGCAAGTATTACTTCAATAACATAAATGAAACATTTTATATTACCTGTGCACACTGGATACTGATTATTATTATATAAAGTATATTTTTAGTAAATGAAACTATTAGGATAATTCGATAAAAAAATTTTCAATCTTTTTGTTTGGTTCAAATCTTAAACGAAAAATATATATTAGCATAAGTAATTAATATAAATATCATGTTAAAATGTCTATATTTTTTTCTATTGTTGCATATATTTTATCACACCAATTATAGAGAACATTTAATCGAGCCATGATTCGTATTCTATTATACAGTGTTATTTTATAGATAACTAAGAATTATATTATATAATGTATTAATACATAAAACTATTAGTATCTTCTTTGGATCGCCATAATAAGTAAGATGTTTTAAACATATTATTTTAAACTTCAGATATATGCATACAACTTTCTAATGAATATTTCGTAAGAAATGCATGTCGTTTACATGTAAGAGATATTGAAATTCAAATTCTTATACTACATTATATCATATGCAATCAAGTATAATGAAAAAGTAGTCAAATACTATAAAAATTAATTTGAAACAGTAATTAGAATCAAATCTTTAACACAAATTTAAAAAAAAAAGTATAACAATTTATATAAAATAAAAAATCCAAGTTTGTGATAATTTAATTATAAAAGATTAAATAAACCATTGCATCAACAAAACTACTTTATTTTATAAAATTGTTCATAATTCTGTCCGTAAGATATTTAATTTCACATCCCTAAATATATTCATACAAACAAAGACTATCAATATACATTTCTTTTATATGTACATTGTATTATTTATAAAATTCATTTTTTATCTATTTGCATTTGAAAATATCAATATTATTAGTTGATTTTAGTAACATTACATTATGTTATTAATTTTGAAAATATAAAATTTTCAATCGAACGTATAAAATTTATCGTCATTAAAATATTTGGGTTTTCTTATTTCAGAGGGTCATGTACTTCATTAAATTCTTCTTGTTATTAAAATAGACTTCTTTACATTATTTCGAAAAATAGTAACACCTAAGCTCTATAAATAATTGCTTAAATGTCGTGTTTGTAATTTGATAAAATAATATTTTATTTTTATGCAAAGAATCATATAGTTATCCAAATTAATAAATAATGTAATTATACTTTATTTCTGCTTATTATCATTTCTATATAATAAGAAAAAAATAGAAGGTAATAAAACAATTTCATATGATGCAAATCGAACCATTATTATTGCTCATCCTTAAATAAATGATAATTTGACAAAAACCTTTGTATTTTTAAATAAGTTTGTTTGGTTATGTTACTTAATAAATTTATATTTCATAGTCATTTATTAAGAAATATTTATATTCTAAAAGTGAAAATGTTTTTAGTAGAAAATTTAATGGCTGGTTTCAAATCACATATGTTCATTTATAAAATTTATTTACAATAAAAGGTATCTTTTACTTATTATAACAAAATATTTATATTTTTTTTACAAATTAAATTTTTTTCATTAATATTGAAGCATACAATTATTAAAGAGGATTCTTCAAATCCAAAAGAATAATGCGAAAATATAATAATTATTTACACAATGAGGAAAACAAATTATGTGAATAACTACGATAATATTTATTTACGATACCGAATACAATTTAAAATATATAAGAATTCTTTGCATATAGAAAATTTTTTATATATAAAATTCGTGATATTTTCATATTTTTAATGCTTACTTACATAAGTCATAGTTATACTTAATATATACAAAATTAGATCTACAAAATATATATCTATTACAATTATATAAAGAAAATAATTTAGAAATTAATTCGTATGAATTTGTACAAAATGTATTCGCCGTTTCGGCTTGTTTTACCAAAGCCGGTTCAACGGATACAATTTGATGCCGTTGACAACTCAGTGAGCACGGGTGTTGTGTGGTAGCGATGAAAGGTCACAAGTGGAAGGGATATTATAATAATACAATATGAATATTGTTGATGTATATGCTATTTATTCTGTTATTTATTGATGACAAGGTTGACTAGTATTAATTATTGAAATAACTCTCGAATTGGATTGATGTGTTTGCGGTGGCAAACGTATTCTCATCTATGCAGCTTGATGGTTTGAATATGACTGGAGAATAGCGCGAAGTTTCGTTCGTCAACACTAGCGCTGTTTGTTGCTTAATTTCATAAGCGTCCGAACTTGAACTAAGGTGAGGGTTGCCGAAAAGACGCCCTTTTTGTGGGCGCAAACTTGACGACGCGTATTGGAATCTATTCCGTACTGTTCACCCTTAGTTGTTTGTCGATGTCATAATCTCTGACTCTCAGAGTATGTAATTATTGTAATAATAATATTACTTACGAAGACTGCTGGTATATTTGAAATTGGGACCTCCTTGTTCTTTCTTCAAGGGGGCTTGTCACTGGACACTTGTCGTTGGAATGCGTCGCCCGCTAATAGGACTTGTAACAATAGCTGTGGTGAACTACGTTAATAGGAAACTGCCAGTGTCTTCAGACTCCGATAAGGGAATGCGTCTTCCGCCAATAGGACTTGTAACGATAGTTGTCTTGAACTACGCTAATAGAAGACCTTCCACTTATTAATTGAACAGTACTGTATCGAGAGTGATGAATATTGAAAAATGCGCTCCTTAAATATATTTGCTGACCATGAACTTCACTTGACCCCCTTCCCTTATTTTTCGTTCAATCAGAGACTTCTCCCTTGCAGAGCGCGGGCACCGCCTCTTGTGGCTTCATAGTTAATTAAGGGGCTAGTTATATCTTGGTCTTCATGGCACGAAGACCTCACGTTGCCGCTGACGCATCTGGCGACAGCATTACAACTTGTCGACAGCGGAAAGGGGGAATGGAAGGTTCGCTCGCAATAATGCTTGAAGTAATTACCGAGCAGAACGAATTCGTACAGACGTCTAACTGAGTGGGTTTCTCCCGTATTTATTGCATTGTTTTTCCAGATGTTTTAACTTGAATACTGAATATATGGCCACGTCTCGTCTTCACAGTATACTGAAACACTGAGCGGCAGTTACACTTAAATGAGCGCGAAGTAAGATTATAATGAGCGTCTGAGCCTTTTGAATACGCACATGAACCGAAGGCTTGATTGTTCCGTGACGGCTCTGCTGAAAATACCGACCGTTCCATGGCAGTCCTGATAAGGGTAGATCAAGACCCGTGTGCCATGGCATCCACTGGTAGATGGTTAGATCGGTTCACTATGTTCGGTCACGGCAAGATGTTAGCCGCAAGCGCAGTTGAGCGAGGGTGGTTCGGCTAGAGAGCCGGTCAGTAAAAGAGGCTGTCAGCGAGAGAGCAAGGCGCGGCGAGTGCGTGCCTTATATATCCACGCGGCGGCTCACTTAGCTGGCAACAAAGCATCGTCGTTGTTGCATTAATTCTTACAGGAGGCGTAGAAAGAAAAATCTAGAACCTTCGAGAATTTGACTAAAGAAAAATAGGGCGTAATACCTTTGTGTGATCTTATAGTATATTAGATTTCATGTCGTAAAACATGCTCGGACTTGCCGAGTTTTGTTTATAAACATTCGCCCGAGTGCGCGTCCCAGTCCGAGCGCGCATGCCGTGCGTCGTACAGCGCGTAGGACCCACTTTTTCTTAAATTCGTGTAAATTTCGTCAATTTCGAACACCTAGAGAATCGACACTCAAGAACGCTTGACTGTCACGCTTACCCTCTGAATACTAGAGAAAGGAGAAATACAAACTCAATAGATTCGTACCGCATCAATGAAGATAATGGCTGAGGAATGTGAATCATTAATATACAACATATCACTAGATGAATTAAGGATACATTGTTACATGTCAAAGAATTACATAAAGTTTTCATCAAGGACCATGTACACTTACATACAACCAGAGCCTCTGCCACACTAATCATAAAAATTTTTTGAATAACGCCTATCAAGAGAAAAACAAGCAATATAACATGGCTTGAAAAATCATCATTAAACTTCGTCACTCATCCAATAAAGAACCTAGTTTGAAAAAATCCTCACCAACCAAGGTACAGACACAAAGGCATCCTACTAATGTACAAGTAGCGCATAGGCAATAGGATGATACATGCAGCCAACACAGTCTATTCATGTGATATTTTACTACCAAGCACACTATTGCAGAAGGAGGATCTGGAGTCTCATGACCTCCTACCTCCATATGTTGTGCATGCTGACGCCACGTGACAAATACCACAGAAGGAGGATCTAGAGACTCATGACCTCCTACCTCCATATACAGTGCTATATCATATAATACTATACAGTCCAATCACCTCATATCCATGCATGAACAATTTGTAAATTCCTGACATATCGTATCAGCACACAAAAGGAACTAAGACCATTGAAGACTCAAGAGAAAGACAAAGCCGAACATCTAGAAGCATTGTGTGACCATAAAAACATATCAAAAAGTCATCATGAATTTATCAAGTATAAATGAACAACGCCAAGCCCAATCCTCTGGCACAAGATGACAAGCTCAAAAAAGGAATGCTGCACCCACGCACACTCAACACTTGTGCGTACAATTCATGAACATGTCAATTGTAGAAAACAGAATCTTGTAGAAGACAGGACTATGCTTCAACTGTCAAAGACATCACAATGTTAATGTATCAAGAATCAATACACAATGTAAGAAGTACTTCATCAGTTGCCAACTGGCACGCACACTTTCAAGGCCACCCATTTCCGGCAATTCGAATACTGCTGCAATTAATAAAGGACGAGGGAAGTACATACCCTCTCACCATGACTTCCACCATTCACGGAAGACATGTCGATGACACTTCCGGAAATGCAGACACAAAACAAGCAACTGAAGCCGCAGCTTGATTACGGGACCCCCGCATGACGGGCGGTTCCCCCTTGGGAAAATGACATACAATCACCGAGATGTCATCACCGCATTAAGAGCAAATTAAAAGAAGAATACCCAGCTTACGCTCGACGATTGCTTCACCAAAATCAAAAGATGGTCTCTTCAATAGGACACGCTTACATTCAAGAAAGGAAGGACGTCGATTCAATTGGGAAAAAAATATTCAAGCAAGAGCTATAGCAGCACAAGCTCCATGGGACGAAATGATGCTATCTCAGCCTTCTGCACAATGGCTGACAACCAGAAGAGATCTCACCAACCTCATCGACCTCTACATACCACATTGGCTCAAGATAAGGAGCACCTCACACAGAGAACTGCATGGATTCTCTAATGCATGAAAATTGGCAACATCGGCAGTCATGTACGTATCAGTACACGAACAAAATAAAATAATGACTCGCATATCACAAAAAAGGGTATGAAAAGCAAGCTCAATCAAATTCAACACATATTTTTTCCAGGCGATAAATGAACCTAGCAAGCTACCAATCTCTAAAGGTAAATTTAATCACCAACAAAATTGGTGATGGCGGGCGAAATGTTCGGGATTGACGCCAGTTTCAAGACCGCCGATTATCGATATCGCCGGCCCGTTCAGATCTCAGATTTCTGTAAACACTTTTATGAGAATTTTTCGTCTACTTGTTATGCTTTGGTTTCGAGTGGCCCGTAATATTTATATGGTCTTCGGGTAATAACATCGCCCAGAAGTTTTCTATCGGTATTACGTCCGATAATTCTCGAAAGTTCTAGATTTTCTTTCAACGCCTCGTGTAAGATTCCAGTGCAACAACGACGATGCTTTGTTGTCAACTAAGTGAGCCACCGCGTGGATATATAAGGCACGCACGCGGCGCGCCTCGCTCTCTCGCTGAAAATCTCTCTTGCTGAATGCCGTTCACGCTGACCGACTCTCTTGCTAATCATCTCTTCCCGAACCACCCTCGCTCAACTACGTTTGCGGCTAACATCTTGCCGTGACCGAACATAGTGAACCGATCTAACCATCTACCAGTAGAAGCCATGGCACACGGGTTTCGATCTGCCCTCAGCAGGACCGCCATGGAACGGTCGGTATTTTCAGCAGAGCCGCCACGGAACGATCAAGCTTTCGGTTCGTGCGCGTAATCAAAAGGCTCATACGCGCATTATAATCATACTTCGCGCTCATTTAAGTGTAACTGCCGCTCACTGTTTCAGTATACTGTGAAGACGAGACGTGGCCGTATATTCAGTATTCAAGGTAATAATACATGTGTGCATTAATAAAGAAAACTCGGCAGATTTAGAAGTGATTACAGTGAAGCCAAAGGAATAGTAATCAAAGGAAACATCAGCCTCGTAGTAAATCAACACTCCTTGTCAGCAGTTTACAAGGTACATCTTTATATTAATAAATAAACTAGTCACACCTTGTACAAAAATAAATCGGGCAATTTCACATTACCTTGGTCGAACCAACGCTTCGACATCGTACAGGCCCATAAGAATCGATCGGGCAAACTTACGCTCTCTCGAACTAACACTTCGAAACCGTACAGGCCCTCAACAGACGACACAAGTGTCGCTATGCGTTAAGCACGTTGTCAAGGAAGGACAACAATAGATCGACTAATCGACTATAAATACAGATTATTAAGTCCTTCAAGAGCTCGAAGGCTTATCATTAATAACTCTTGTGTGTGACTAGCCCTTCTACTGCCCCCATAAATAATTAGACATAATTGATTACTCACCAAGTTCTATTAAATATCTTACACCATATCAAGTATAGTTATTCATACATCAAACATACTTGATTCAAACACCATCTTCTCATGCTACCTCATGAGCATGATTGACGGACTACACCAGCTGATATTTATAAGGATATAATAAGTGGAAGGGCTGAATAATATTATATATAACGTAATTTTAGTAAGATCAATGTATTATTTGGTAAATTATTATAATAATATCGCACTGTTGTTGAGAGGGAAGATTATTCTATTGTAGTAAAGAGGGTGTTTCCTTGTGTTCTTGATTATCGTAAATTCTATGGATATTACTGCGTATCTTGAAATTGAGGTTATGCTGTCGAGAGACTAATCCACTGAACTATTGAATTGGTAGTTTGAGTTATAAAGTAAACCTTTAAAATCAAACACTAGGACTCTTAGTGTTCGAGTATTGGGCACTTCCTTCATGAAGATATTAGATGTAATATATTTATCATTATCTTGAGCAGCTGGACAGATCATTTCCAGATACGCGTGTTCCTTAGTAAAGGCCTTGTGGACTTCTTCAGCGAATGAATACGAGTCTGAGTGCTCTTCTGCTGTGATGTCAGGTTCAGATACAGCATATTTTCCACAAAGTTCTGTAATATTTGAATGCGATTAGACTATGTTGTCATTTTAGTTGTAAATTCAGAGATTAATTGGGGAGATAATGAGCTGGCTCTTATTGATTTGACGGTCTTGGTACCCTTGGCCACCATAGTGGCGTCTTTGATCTCTTTCTTATTACTTGATAGCTCGTGGAGTAGGACCACGTGTTCTCTACGAATGTTTTGCCTTCCACTGTGTCTGGCAGGCCTAATGTGTATGTGTGGACCCTGCTCGTCTGCTCGACTCCTCAGATCTGCTATCTGACAACGAGACTATTCAGCTTGAAGTACCAAAAGTTCGGTTTTAAAGATTTAGTTTATGGCTCCAATTCAATAGTTCAGTGGATTAGTCTCTCGTCAGGATAACTTTGAAGGATATAATAAGTGGAAGGGCTGAATAATATTATATATAACGTAATTTTAGTAAGATCAATGTATTATTTGGTAAATTATTATAATAATATCGCACTGTTGTTGAGAGGGAAGATTATTCTATTGTAGTAAAGAGGGTGTTTCCTTGTGTTCTTGATTATCGTAAATTCTATGGATATTACTGCGTATCTTGAAATTGAGGTTATGCTGATGAGAGACTAATCCACTGAACTATTGAATTGGCAGTTTGAGCCATAAACTAAACCTTTAAAATCGAACAGTTATTATTTTGAAACTTTATTAAATTGTATTACAGAAAATGGTTTCGTCCTTGATTTCAAGAAACTTAGATTTATATTTAATATGATGTTATAATACATTATGGATTTGAAACTAATAATAAGCATTCTAAAAATAATAGAATAAAATGTGATTTTTTGTATATTATGATGGAAGTGTTCAATCTAATAAATGAGAAGTTCGAGTTATATATCTCAATATAACCTTTAGAGTTAATTTTCGTCGATTGTTTATAGTACACAAATTCAAGTAGAAGAATGTAAATAGTATAATATAAAAATGTCCAATAGAAACATATTCAATTATCATATAAAAGTAATAAAGTAATAATAACCAACTAAAATTTATATTGGTTTTAGAATGTGGATTATATATTATAAAAATATTCATATTTTCTTCCTTTTTTTAATTTCTTCATTTACATTATTAATTTTATAAAAATAATATTTAAGAAACGTAAATTGATTAAAATATGACTTTTTAAATTCAAATACTGAAAAAAAAGAAATAGACAAATTTTAATTGAATTTATTAGCGCAAAGTTTTCATTCTTTGTTTCTCGATTCATAACTTCATACAAGAGTGTTGTTTTCAATCGTAAACTATTTCAATCTATTTAAAAAATTGTCTTACAAACATAATGATTAAATATATTTTTGCACAAATATTATAATAATAGAATAATAAAGTGACCCTTCACATACACTGAAAGTTCTAATATAAATTCATTTTAATTTAAAAGAGTAAAATTTAATAATCCAAAAGTGTAGGAACCGCATGCATATATATATATATATATATGGAATGACAAGAATCAAGAAGTTGTGTGAGCAAAGCAGGGTAGTAGAACCAACAGTCGATAAAATAGTTTCGCTCTCAAAAAGTTATTGGGCGAACGACGTAGAATTTTGCTATGTGCTGTCAGAGTGACTATTTGCAAAACATGGGCGTTCACAAATTTAGGTAAACTTACCGGATGTTTGTAAATAAATCTTTGAGAAATATGAATAATTACTGAAAATGGCTACGCTTTTATTTTTTTAGTGAATATCGCCCTTCTTTCGCGGGTTATAACTATTATTCTATTTTTATGATTTTATGACTGTTGATGAACATTTTTCTCTCCTTGTTGTATACAGCTTTTTTTATCATTAAACATACGATTCAATTTTTTTAAGCATCAATTTACTATTATTGTACACTTAATGCAATTGTAAAATATATTCTGATGTTATTAAAATTTGTTTCTAACATTAAAATTCCAATATAATTAACTAATGCTTCTATTTTAGTTCTACGAACATAACGAACATGAAAAATTAAAATAAGTAAAAGAAATTTGATTCATTTTGAAATATTTTATTCTTTAAAAATAATTATATTCTAACATGCAATTCTTTTCATTAATAGTACGAAAAACTAATGCATTTTAATAAAAAAATGTCGATAACTAAAATAGCTATTTTAAAATAATGATATAATAATATTTTCTTAATAAATGACAATAAAATTTTTTTATTTCTTTAAAACTTTATTCGAAGAACTAAAAAGTTACTAGCGATTGCAAGTTATATGCATATATACGAATAAAAAATTAAAAATCTAAATTAATATAATAATAAGCGACTTACTAAACTTAATATTGCTTCTATTAATTTTTTTAACGATATGAATAAAATATACAATGTATAAATATACACAAACAGGACTATATTTTCTACTTTTAACTATTTTTTCTTTTAAATTAAACCTAATTGTTTTTTTATTAAAAAAATATACCCCATAATGCAAAAACATTTACATAAAATTATGAATTTCTCTATTACTATTCAATCATCGATGTTCTGAATTTTTTTCTAATTAATTCAAATATGAGATATACACTATATAAAACATTCCATTTACAATAAATTTATAATGGCTAATAACGATTGAATGACAATAATTTGTATAATTATTGATGTCAGATTTATGTAAAATCGATAAGTCTCGAATTAGCCCCAGTGATACATATTTTGATATAAAAAAGCAATGATATATATAGATACAATTGAGTAATGGTTTTTAAGTGAAAAAAATATTACTTTTGCGTCTTAATTTTCCCGATTATTGATCGCATAAGAGCATGCGTTTCTACGTCGTTCTAGAAATGGTAGCTTAATTTTACGTTGCAAATTAAGGATTAAAAGCTGCGTATTGAATCGGACTTTAGCTATTGCATAAAATTTCTTTAATTCCGATCGTTACTCTTCTTAAACTTAGTTTTTGTTGTAGTAAATTGGAAACATTCAAAACATAGTTCCATTAACGAAATGACAAACTAATCTTTTTATGTAATATTATAATTATGTATTAAATTATGAATTGTCATGATTTCATTTAAATAGTGCATCTGCAATATGTTTATTATGAAATAGAACGATACATAATTAAGATTTTCAAATTATTAATATTGCAAATATTGATAAATCACTAAGTATTTTATATAAAATTTCTTTTACTTAAATCTAAAATAAATTAAAGAAAGAATTTGCATTTTTATAATATATCATATAAATTCAATGTTATCGTGTTATAAATTTATTATAATAATCAATATGATTTGTACATTATTAAAATTTTATTAATTTATATTTTTTCTTTTACCAGATAAAAATGATTAAAACTATTACATTTTGAAAATTTATGAAAATAGCTTTATAAAGTAACGAAATTGTTATGTTTTAACAAACAAGTATAAAATATAATTATAGCTAGATATAGAATAAAGCTATTCATATTTATTAAAATTGTCGGTATTTATTTGTTTTTATTCTTGTATTTAAATTTTAGAAAACATATAATATTCAGTGTGTGCATATTTTGCCTCAAACATATATTTAAATTCTTTTAGTTACTTAGAATTAATCAGTCAAATAAATATAGAGATTAATACAGATTTGTATACATTTAGATTTGTTTAAATTAATATAGATATGTATTCGTTTCATTCCCAAAATATATATATTTTATAGACATCTTTAAACGTAATATATAAAATGATATTATTTAAAATTGAATTTCCTTTGAAATATCTATTTATAATTTATCATTCAATAACATAAGAATAACTAATATGAATGTAATAATTAAAATTTGGAAATCACTGTATAATAATTAATAAAGCAACAAAAGAATTGGAATATCGTCTTTGCATACACTCTTAATTTTAATAAAAATTAATATAATACTATATTAGTAAAAACAACAACATAAATAAAAATCTAAAAGGCGAATATTCTTGAGAATTGTAACATAATGTGTATATATTTTTTAAAAATAATTTATCAGTTGGACTAGCTTATAATATTAATTACTAATAATTGTTTCATTAATTGCAAAGTAATTGTTTAAAGAGTATTTTTAATATTTGAAAACAAAACTACATTACGCTTTAGTTTTACAATACATGAGTTTCTTTAGCTCCAAGTAACTATACTGAAAGTGTTTAATTTATTATATGTCAGTAATAATAATAACAACAACAACAGTAGCAGTAGAAAAACATTAACAATAACAACAACAGCAGCAACTGTAAATACAATCACAATACTAATAATAATAATAATAATAATAGTAATAATAATAATAATAATAACAACTCTATTGTTAGTGCATCATTATTTTTTAATATCTAAAGCTACAGCTTTTAATAATTTAATAATCGTCTAAACTTTTATCGAACATGTTATACAGTTCATGTAAAGTATAGCGAATCATTTAATTATTTATTCGTTAAATCTTTTGACTGTAAAATTTCAATATGGCGCTTCACGTAATGGAATATTCCGTAATCAGAACTGTTTTTTCCAACGGCCTGCTTGGAAAGTGGCTTTTAATGCTTTAAGGATATTCACGCTCATCTGGTTCGGGGTAAGTCGTAGTTCTCCCACTGCGCGTCTTTAACCTTTTCTGGTTGTCGCGCATTATCTCACGTCCTTTGGAAATTTTTTGAATAGCAATATTTTTAAAGGATATCCGATCTTTTGTACACTTGTTGGAATACTATCAAATTTCCTCATGTTTTCTATTTGTAATATTAATTTTACACAACAATGTAAAATATTGATTATCAAATTTTGCAAGCATTATTATATAATTGATCGATGTTATAATTTAATATAAGTATTGTTGGCACTAAATAAAATGACCTCTAAATTAGAACTCTTTTTTTAAGTATCGAACTATGTTGAAATTTAAAGAAAAAATTCGAATGGCGCAGTAGAATGAAACGCGATAAAGATCTCTCCCTACCAAAAACAGTTTCAATTATTATAATTTACGAGCTTTTACAGAAGCAGAGAAATATCGTTTAAACTAGTAAAATAACTACAGCCAAAATTTATTTATTAATGCTCCAATCATTTTAAAATCCGCATTTAACAAGTTAGGAGTTCAAAATATTTTGCACTATTGATTGCTATTCTGATCGATCTTCGAACTCGGCTAGTATTATTTATCCGTAAATGCGTAGCTCACGTCTATTTGCACTTGCTGCTCTACGTCCATCTTCGATCCATATCGCCTGAACAATAATAGACAAAGAACTTCGTGACAAAGCAAGCGAAAAGGGCGCATAAGAGAAATGCCGGGCCCCGCTGGCCCACAATGGTCAATTCGAAAACACAAGCGTAGGCGCAGCAGTACACGCACACGCGCACGCACGCACGGGCTCATATACGCAGATATCCAGGAGCCGGACCAGAAAAAGAAAGAAAAAAATCCCCGGAGCCCTAGCGGTCGGCCTCCCTGGAAAGTTCCATTCGATTGCTGCGCAGTAGCCGGGTACCGAGCTGACCTTGTCATGGGTTTCGCCCCTCCGCGGTGCCGGTTTCGGTCCCCACCTCTGTCCCGCGCCCTGGGAACGTGCTGGGAACCTCGTAGCCGGCGATCAATACGTGCCCGACACTTTCTCGAAGGCGCATCCGCGAGTATACATACAATCGTGAGGCCGTTGCTCTTAGTGGGAAGGTTCTCGAAGCCAACCACGCCAGACTATAAAAGCGGCTCTTGCCTGACTATACCGGCGCATTCGCGAGCAGGACGCCGACGGAGGAAGCGACTCCGACAGAGGAACACGATCTCCCCCGATCTCCCCCGCTCCTCGCATAGCTGGACGTCGTCGCTTTGCGACGACGCACTTTTAAACTCTGGACTGCAGCACGCACACATTGGAACAATGTAGACTGTAGGAGGCGAGACTGCGGGGGATGCTGCACTTAACCGTAAGTAGAGTCTCGAATTTTCTTCATTATCCATTTCTTTGTTTCACTTTGTTGATTTATTAAGTATATTTTTGTTTCTCTTTGTTTGTTTAAATTGTTTCTGTAATCATGACGTCTTTGTTCTTTGCGACGTATGCAATTGCATTTTATGCTCACGTCCGTGACCTTCACCGAGTATAAACGATAGTTTAGCGAAGCCGATGGTAATGCGTAAATAGTAAGACCTTTAAGATACCTTTAGTTTCTTATTGATTTTGCTTCTATTAATGAATAAAAGCGTATTACAGTATTCAAGGCTAAGATAATTCGACATAATATTCGTGGTTGACTAAAAGTGCTTTGTAGTTTTTCTATTGATGGCAATAATCTTATTGCGTAGTAGAATACGTAGCGGAAGTATTATAAACTTGTCAATAGAAACTTATTATTATATCCAATTTTTTTCATTTTCAACTCAGTTATTGCGAAGTTTCAGCCAATTGCATATAAAATTTGTAGGTTTGATTTTATTAAATACGTACCTAAACTATAACGAAAGTTATTCGATTTTATTTTAACTAAATAATTATGCATATTAATTTAAACGTACATATAACTTATTTCGCTGTTCTTTTTATGAAATATATTATTTTTGGAATTGTACTATCCATAAAAGCTAGTAATCAAAATTAATTTTCGAAAATATTGTTTCCAGAATTTCGTAAAAAGTATATATGTTTTTATAGATTAATTTTTATAGATAATTTAAAGATATGTTTTTAAATTAATTGTGCCCCTTTCATTCTCGATATATTATAACTGTCTCATTAAAAAGCATCAATATTTCTCCTTGAATATAATTTGTTACGCATAAAGACAGAAAAATTCATTAAAATTTTTAATATGGAGCTAACATTATATCTACTGAAATGCATTAGACTTCTTTCAATAATAAAGATATTTTTAAGCTAATTTTTTATAGAATAATTGTGTTATGAAATTGTAATGTAAATTTCTCGTCATTCGCTCTAAAAAGAAATATTAATATTTAATGTAAAGTGAAGCCTAAGTTTGTGCAAAAAATTTATTTTAAAATTAAAAATAGTCTCATTCGTCATTTGATTGATTTCATTACAATTCACGCTAAAGAATTTAATTAATTAATTAAATTTTATTTTTCAATATTTTACTCGTCGTTTTCATTATTCTTTTATTTGATATCAAATTACACAAAAAAATTTTAATTTATTACGTAGGATATATAAGCTTTCATGAGTAATTAATAGTTACGTGCATTAAAAGCAATGATTTATCAATAACATACTAGTACAAAATGAAATAAAAATAACTTTTTTTCAAAGTCCCATTGTATGGATTAAAAATATCTGAATTTAATATTCGTAAGCTGCCAATTTTTCGAGTATTATTTTGCCGTTCTTAAATTTAGAATATTCGATTTGAATATTTATATTTCAAGATAATAATATTCAAGATAAGATAATAATATATCGAAAATAATAATAATAATAATAATAATATATCTTCAAAGTGTAGATCACAATATTCTTAAAAATGAATACCGGATATTTCATAAACATCGATAATATTAAAAAATTTGCTCACAAAGCCATTAGCAAGTATGATACTGATATTACGGAAATACATAGTATAAGACATCGATTATAAAAACAATGACTTATATAAAATACTATAATATTGGTTTTATATTTTAACACTTTTCAGCAGCTTTATGTTCTAAAGGGTACTTAAAAGCAGTAGGTTAGGACAATATAGTTTGATATTTTTTAATTTATTACCCAAACGATTGCGTGTATTTTTGCCTTTTCTATTTTTTTATTCTCATCTGTTCTCCAATATTTAGAAGCAATATCTGGAATTAAAAAAACACATTTAATTATTCATAAGTAAATGTAGTTATTTTATTATATTATAAATTATCAATTAAAATAAAAGAAATGTAGTTGATTAACATTACTTCTAACGAAAGCAGTAACTGCATTATAATATATTTGATATTACACTAGAATTCAATTATTAAATCTTAATTATTAATTATGAATAGACGGAATTAATTATTAATAGATTATTTATTATATCTATAGCTATTATATAGCATAGTAATGATCGAATTATCATTAATACGGTATACGTACATTCTTTTTTTTAATATAATAAAAAGTGTCATTAATATGAATTATCAAAGAACAAAAAAAAAAAAAAAAAATAATAATAGTTGCCAATTTGTTAGAATTTTTAAAACACATAGAATCGTAATTCTTTTTATATTTTCAGAGCACCCTATGGGTTAATGGTACAAAAACTTTGATCATTCTGAACCTTTGATGTATTATCGTTGGTTAGGATATGCATCAGCCAACCAATGAAAATAGGTAAGCGTGAAATAGAATAGACCAATATTCTACTGGATAAAACTTATAATTATCAAAATAAAGCTAAGAAGTCATGAGTGCTGTTTTCGAAAATCGAGGAATGATTAAAATTTATAGTAAAAACAAAAAAAAACATGAATCGTTTATTATCTAAAAAAATTGATAACATTAATTTTTTTATAGAATTTTTGCCCTACCGCGTATTATATTATTTAATAAAAAACTTATTACTTTTTTATGAACATATTTAATGTCTTTAATACGAAAATTTTATTTGTTCTTTTTAAAAAGAACAGAATTACTATTGTAAAATAAAAATTTTCATATAGAATATTTTTAAAGATTTATCTAGAAAAGATTGATCATTCACAGTTTACTTAAAATTTTCACAAAAAACGATAATAAATATATAGGCGCTAATAGAATGCGATTGCATATCCATTCTTTCAGAAAACGTAAATTTTATTTTTACGTTTTAAAAACTAATAATAAGCTTTATTTAGCATGCTTCAGAGCTGGTATTTTTTAATTCATCATAAAATCTGAATATTACTTATTACATCAAAATTTTCTGTTAGTCCTCTTCATCACATACAGCACTCTTAATTCTTAATCATTAATTTGATAGTATAAACATTTACTGGATAAGTTACAATAATTTAATTATACGAATTTAAAATTAAGAAGACTAGTTTAAGTTATCAATACTTGAAAATCTGTTTTCTCTGTTTTGATATAGCATTGCATTAATTAGTCATCTTGGAATCGCAACTTCTCTTAAAGTTCTACCGTGTCACGCTATAGTAGAAGATACCTAAACAATAAAATAAAACGAAAACATATAAAGTAAAGATCGAGTATGAGAAGAGGTCCCAATAACCTGCTTGATTATAACTGCTAATGAATGCAATAGGTAAGCGAGTCTAGGGTTAATCGAAGGGCAACTACACAATTTTCTTTAAAGCCAGGCGTCTTCGGACGCCTCGGCTTATGAGGCTTCAGGATTAGTAAACAGATATAACAGGTGAAAGACCAATTAATCAAGTTTATTTAAAAAAATATTCAGGAAGGAATATTGTACAAGAACATCACATCGGGCTGTACATCTGCCTTGAGTATTAAATCAGTATAGGAGAGAAAAAAGTACGATAATTTAGGATTAAAGAAATTGAGCAAAAAAGAAAAATATTCGTATTTATTGGTCAACTTATCGGATGGGCAAACAGCGTTAAATTAAGTTTCTTTTAATTTTTTGCTGAACGCCCATTGTCGATCCGGCAGTATTTTCCAATGCGATTTTGAAAAATCATTTTATTTACCGACTGTCGATAAGCAAACAGAAACGTTTTGATGTAAATTTTTTTTATATAAATTGAGTACCGCGAAAAATCGACACTTAGCATATTTGAATCTTAACCATAGAAGACTTCTCCCCACGCGTAATTCATGTAACTGGAACGCCTGAATTTTACTATTCCCAATTGTACAAACATTTAACCGAGACAATGTAGTTCCAAGGTATACCTGCTTGTATGAGACTTGTTTCTGCTGAGAGAAGTTGGTACATGCAAGTGGGTCGTACAACGATTATTTTATTATTTCGCAAGATACCTGAGTTTTTCAAAAAGTTTATTATCGAAAATGAGAGTTCAATTCGGCTCATTCAAAATTTTCATAAAAAGAGAGTAAGAGTTTACGAATAATGTTAGTGGTATTCTATTCTTTTCGTGTTTAGAAACGCCATTTTTGCGCGTTTAGCTGAGTAATTAAAAGAATAGGTTGATATTTATCTCTAATATTATATTATATTTAGTATTAAAATTTGTCATTGTTAAATTGTTATTATATATAGATACATATATACAAGATATATGTATATACGTCTATTTTTTTAATATATACGCGACTATATAGCTTTTTGAAAGGTTTCGACGTAGGTGGCGCCCCTCAAGGGGCGGGGGCGCCTGGATATGGGAAGTAACTTGCGAGTATTGAATGTGTGGAATCATAATTCATGAATAATTAACAATGACATCGTAATTTTCGATTTCGTTAAAAAAAAAGAAGAAGAGATTCTATTCCAACATCGTAGTAAACAAATATTCTCTCGTAGTTTTGCTTAAACTTAGCCCCTGTAAAGACTGACATGGGCACATATGCAAGAAACTAACTTTTTTTTTATATACAGTCAAACATATGAGAGAAGTTACAAAAGATAAAACGAGTTAAACAAGAGAATTAACCAATGAATATTCTTTATATAAGAGCGTATGAGTTTTAACTTTTTGATCGAAGCAGCGATCGTCGAGCTGTGATTCCTCTAGAAATATACGGTTCTAATACTTGTACGCCGAATGTTTCACAAAGTCCTTTAATAGTATGATTAAAAACATTAATGAGCAAATAATATATGAACAAAGTTTGATATATTTGTCATTTATATCATTGTGAACTTGAGACACTTTTTCAATGCAAAACTTTTTTTATACTTAAATAACTTTTGCGCATTTTTCAATAAATTTATCGAAATTTAAAAAGAATATGTAACCATCACCTTGTCGTATTATTTATACAGATCTATACAATTAAGCAGCAGACTACTATGTGAATTACCAAGTTATGTTTAAAATCATCTCATTTACTTTGAGAATTTTTAATAAAATATTTTCTCTGGTATGTTTTGAGTAACCGAATTTCTAAAATTATTTACAAAATAATTTTAAACTTAAATTTGGCAAAGTTTTATGAAATAAACGATCTATTCTCATTTTATTAAAAAAAACTAATATCGATAGCAAGTTCCATAATTTCTTTTTATTTCGAGATTAAAAAAAAATATAAAGATTGCAACTATTTCATGACTTTATCATTATGCAAAAGTCATAAAATAGTTGCTTTGTAAGTATTATTGAATTATTTGTTTATTTCATTCAATTACCAATAAAATTTAAATAAATAATCATGAATCATTAAATCTTAATATAGCTTCAAAAATAGTGTTAGATGTTATGTGAGAGAATGTAATGCGAAGTAGTTACATTGCAAATTAATTGCAATATTTAAAAATTTGAAAGGAAAATAGATTAAAAAATGCACATATTAAATGTAACGTGTAGTAATATTTAAAATATTTCCTATACTTTTAATCTAAATTATTTAATTAATTAATGGCATCCTAATATATATCGTTAAAATCTTTCATTATTAAATTTGATATTTACTGATTTCTTGAATATCCCGAAAATTTTTCTGCAATTTTCGATAATGATGATTAAATTTTCATCACAGTTAAGAGTTCCATAGGCTTCAATTACTTGCCTGTGTCTCGGTGAGATATAATAAGACATATTAAAAAATTATTTAACTATTTAATTTTACATTGTATCCCGCGGATAAGTTTTCATTAAAAAACCTAACAATATCGAGACTGTATAAATATTATCTTATCAGCTTTCGCATATGTAATTAACATAATTAATGCTAGTTCACGTAAAAATAATAATGTATAATAAATTTCCGATTTTGATTGACTCCTTTTTTTAATTTTGATATTTTTTAATTGTATATTATATTTAATGACTAAATATTTAACGTTAAATTGGATATGCAGATACTATATGCAATCTGTAGTTATTTAACACAGCATATTATGATGATCATTAATTATTAAATTATCTTGAATAATCGCATAAACAGCGGCTATATTAATTATTATTGATATCTTAAACATAAGCATATTATCATAATAAGTGCATGTATGATTTTAAAAGCGTTAATTTTATCTGATTACGTCATTTGGAATAGCTTTTCGACATCATATACCTTCTATCTATTAGTTATTATTAGTAGTAGTAGATTATTCTATAAATTGAACTAATGAATTTGTTTTCTGAATTTTTTAATTTAAAAAATTCGTTTTTCTAAAATTATACAAGCTTTATAAATCGTAAGGTAGTAATATGAAGCTAGTAAAATAAAATGAATTTTATTTGTTAATGCATGAATAAATTTAAATTATGCTATAAATGCGTTATCTTGATATCAATATTAATAATAGTCACATATTTGGAGATCAAGTGTTACCTCGAGCTTTTCATCTCCATTTCAAGATCAATAGCTTTACTTTACTGATATAATCGGCTTGCTCAATTATAAATTAACTTTCGTCACTACATCGAGTGCAGAGGAATGTAACGTCCTCTGAAAAAATGTATATTTCTCCTTGGTGTAATATTACTCTAACAAGCTTGGGTATTTAGAGCAAATGTGATAGGTGTGAATAGAATCAAATAAATAATATATAATTCTTACGAATTTAATATATTATATATACTTAGCTTCAAGCTACTTATTTTCCATAAAAAATACCAACATCTTCATCGAGATTTGCAGGATCCCTATCAAAAAGGGAAACACATCTTTATAACTTGATTCTCAATGTATTTACAATAACAATGAAAGATTTTTTTGTAGTAGCTAATGTATCATGCCAAGAGTTTAATGTAACAATTTTTCATAGATGCTCAGATTTTCGCAGCATCGTTCGATATTCTATATACATATGCTGATATGTCAAGCTTCAATGCCATCCTCTTGGATTGGACCAAGCTCGCTGTTCTTTTCTGAATTGACAAGGAGGTACCGTATATGATCATGACTATCTTGACAGTAATGTTCTATATCGGTGGCAATTACTCTATCGATTTTGAGCTTTAAATATTCAAAGATACGTGAAAATGAATTACGAACGCGGTACAATCTCTAAAGCTATATGGAAACTGTCCTATGCTTATTTTCGAGTGGCTTGAGATTAAATCAAGGCGTTGGCAATACTCGATAGGAATTGCACTTGACCGTGAACATTAACTAATATATACATTCAGGGCAATGATCCGTCATAAGCTCCCCTGTTTCCGTATAATTGCGGAATAATATTAATACAGTATCTACCACTGATAAAATTCTTCTAAATATTCAGTTAATGTATAAGTATGTGGATGATTTCTTACCTTACTTAAACTTAATTCTACTTTATTATCAAGCAAGAAAAATAATTTTTTCTTGAAATTTTGTAGTGTGAGAATCGATTAACTAAGATTGAATATATTATTTTCTGTAAGCGTATATATTGTAATACTTACACACAAAAACTGTTTTTAAACTGTTTCTTATTTTTTTTTTATTCAAATTCAACGTTATTTGTAAGTCTTTGGATAAAGAATAACGTCTATTCATAGCATATTAAAGTTACATATAATCTATAATTATGTTTAATGATTATGTATAACTGAGATTTAGATGAATAATCTGATAGTTTTTATCTTAAGATATTATATAGCGGATTAGATAACTATATATACATCTTTTAGCCATATGGATAGAGTAACATTTTAAGTTGAAGTATATAGAACGACATGTTTTAAAGTTCATATATAATTATTGAAAAAGGAGCTTAATAATAACTTGATATTAGAAAATTTGAAAAACAAAATAATAAAAAAATGAAGGGTGAAAGGGAACAAGAAACACGGAAAACCAAGATTAGAGTAATAACAAATTTTAACAAACTTTAATAATGTGCAGTAGTTTTCATTATTTTAATACTCAGGATATGTTTCTTTCGATATTGTAGTTGAATGTAATCAAAATAGTTATAATTTATTTTAATTACGCTAAACTATCAGCTTTGATCAATAATATACTTTAAAAATATTAACTTTGTATCTACTTAATATTTTATTCTTTTATTTTAAAGACAATGTAGAATTATAATAATTGAATCGAAGTTAGAGGAATATTTGACTTTGTATGGAAATATGTTAACTATCATCTAATATTGAAAAATTAAATTCGTAATAAATTTTTTGCACGAGAAATTAGACTTGCACGCGTATTTAATCTTGAAGCATTGTTGTAATTAATTAATTACGTAGATCATTTTTGAAAATCTAGGATCGTATGGATATGTGTAGAATTGCCTGTTAAGGTTACCTAATATTTAAATATAATGTCACATAAATAAACATCTTGTTATCCAAGTAATAATCAAAACTTCGGTAAATGTAAAAATAAGGTAACTTTTGATCTAAGCATTTTTAATTATATATCTACCAGGCACGAATGTTACTACGTTTTTAATGAAGAGCAATAGAATTAGATAATCTTGAAGGGATTACTGCACTAGTATCAGCTCCATATATAAACGTTAGTAAGCTAACATTATATTTTATATGTATTGAAACTATTTTTATTCGTTCTTTCTCTTTAGTACCCGAATAGGCGACACACTATAGAATGTTTAATGAAAAATTTAAATATGTGACGGCCTTTGTAAATGAGCAAGCAAGATAAAATGTTTAGTTTATCACAAGTATCGCTATAGTTGTGAGATGAAGTAAATAATATCAGAGATCTTACAAATAATCCATAAGATTCTTTTTAACTGTCTTTAGTAATTAGTAACTATGTTGAGCGAAAATAGGGCAATGTTTTAAAATGTTGCAGCCTATATCGGTGACTAGTTAGTATCTTCGATACTAATCAATGCCTAGACTTTCTTTCTCTAGCTCCATGTCTGATAATATTTAACTTAATAAATAAATATAATTATTCATAATCATCGGGATATACTGGAACTTTAACGTGTGACTTCATTTTGTCGTGGTTGATTTATCAAAATGATTTATGCATGAGGAGTGATCAGCAGAAAGTCTTTGCTCTTCTCTACCTTCTAGCATTATAATCATTTAACCTGCTGCGTATATTATTGGTTTCTTCTAACTTATTGTTTATTTTATTGCATAAATTATTTGTAGATTTTATTTTTTTATTAATTCGCTCCATTTCTAATTAGCATGCAATTCGTATTTAATAATATCTTTGATCATCAGAATGAAATTATATAACTATATTGCTTCTTCTACATTATAATCAATGGTTGTATTCCTTGTCCTACTTCTTCTTGTTAAGAATAGAGATAAGTTAATTAAAAGTAACTTAAAATGTTGAATAATGATAAAATAAAAGGAAAAAGAAATAATGCAAACGAACATAGTATGAGTGTTGATTGCATCCAGCTTACTGAGAAACCGATGTTTGTATGTCCATGCATTATGGGGTTTACGCATAAACTTAGAGCAATTCCAGCTAGGCAAGTAAGTCTTAAATCTTATGGTATTATAAATAAAGCTTGATAACTTTTCTGATACATTTGATAGAAACGATCGCATGTGCTTACTACGGATTGGTATTGTAATCTAAAAAAGCTCCAAATTATCTTTAAATTAACAGCATATTAAATAATGATGAAAAATTAACCAAAGCATGCATGAAAAGAAACTCAACTTTTGATGTCAGATTTATGTGTTTATTACATTTATGATCGCATTACAATCTCTTGATAATATTTAAGAATAGGTTTAAGAATCAGGAAAAAACAGAAAATAATTTTGATGGATAAAACTGCTGTGTCAGAGAAGTAAAATAATAAGATGAAATAAAATAATAATAAAATAATAAAATAATTTAGATGTAAGTGACAGCTGATTAAGGGCTTATAACTTGGTAATTCGCTGGATTAAGCACGATTAAACACAATGAAATATCCACGCATTTTGATGTCTTAAAATAAATATTTATTAATTCATGTACATCCATGTGGTAGATAATAAATTATATATGGTTGATTATTTAATTGAACATGAATGAAAAAACTACGAATTATAAACGAAATAAATAATAAACCAAAATAATAATAAACTTGAAGAAACTAAATCAATGTGCGACCGCGATTACAAATAAAATGAAAAATAACACCGTTGTAGATCTGAAAAATAACACCGGTCATTGAATCTTTATCAAAAGATCGTAAAAAATAATAGAGCGATGATTAATAAATGAAAAAGAATGATTTAAAGAGTCTTATTTACTGTTTCTTAATACAAAGTTCGTTAGACTGGTATAAATAATATATGTGAAAAGATAAAACATGAATGTAATACTTAAACGGAAAGAAAAACATTTTTTGTAGTATTGTTTTATGGGAAAAGAAATCCAAATCATAATAAAGAAAAATCTAATCAAATGACATGCATTTTTCTATTAAACATATATCATTTGTGAAATACAGGCGGGCCGAATAAATATAACCAGGCGAATACGGTATGTTTTTTAATTTATTCTGACATTTTTCTTATTTATATTTCCTTATAGTATTTTTCAAACATTCTTATTTCATAGATTATTTTCAATACTAAAATCTATAATTATTTTTAACATTATCTAACACTTATTTATTTTACGTCTGAAATATCTTTTAAAATAATATCCCTCTTAATTTTAGTAGTATTTGTCATTTATTTATCTTCACACTCATTGTGTTTAAATGAATGTAAATAGAAATATTATTTAATATTAAATGATCATAGAGACTATTATGAACACATTATGAAAATGAAAGTGATATAAATTCGACGATATAAATTTTATTTCATGCTAATCTGTCATTCAAGTTGATTGAGGCATTTGCAATTCTGCAGACTGCTGCAATCTTTCAACATCCTGCAGGGTCGAGATTCCACGTTCCTACAGAAAAGCATACAATTTATTTACCAAGCCGGCACCATCATTATCATCATTATCATTACTGTTATTATTGCTATTGTTATTATTATTATTATTATTATTATTATTATTATTATTATTATTATTATTATTATTATTATTATTATTATTATTATTATTATTATTGTTGTTGTTGTTGTTGTTGTTTTATTGTTTCTGTTGCTGCTTATATTGTTATTAATTAGAAAATCTTTGTATAACAAAATTTTGTACGTACGTTATATTCTTTCCATTTTTCGTAGTTCTGTTTCATATAGGTGATCATTTCCGGTATATCGATGAATGCTAAAATAGACTTGTTCAATAAAGCAACAATTCGATTATTTTTTTGGAATACCTATAAAAACGTACGTACCGTTCCATGCTTCCATCATATCGTTGATAATATAATCAATAAAGCCGATTTGCGATTTTGGAATAGAACAGGTAGATCGGTCAAACATGGGCATTACAACAGGCAGTTTTTTCTTTTTTTCTTCGTCAGTCTATAAAAATAATAATTTTTATTTAATTATTTGGTAATGATATATTATCATTTTAAAGATAAACTAAGAAAGCTTTAGGAAAAATTTAATGAATCAGCACTGTTTTAGTAGCTTATCGCCACCTCAATTTTAAAACATCAACTTTTATATTAAAGTCGTTTTATAATTTACGAGTAATCAATTAATGATTTTTATTTTAATTTTAATAAATATTGTTATATAATAAATAAATACTGTTGAATAAAAATGTATTTCGAAATAAAAGAAAAAACAATGTGCTTGTCGAAGATTATATGTTATATAGATTTGTTGGAATACATATATTCTAATTTATAAATACTTGTCTAAAGTACTCCTCTGCAATGCGCTTTGTCCATTCTATACAAAATGTTAAGGGTCGCGTCGGGTTTGAAACATCGGCACACTTAATCATCATCCTTTTAACGAGAGATACGTTTTCTGGAAGTAGGAGTACCGATGAGTCCACTGGATCTGAAAAAGGCTGATGCAAAAACTCGGATAAGTTTCCCATCGATATTCATTATACCGATATTATAATGGTGGTGTTTTCATATGTAGTAAAATAGCTATATTAAATAATAAATATATCGTAAAAAGTATTTACTTTCATTCTCACCTCGGATTGTGATTCTTCGGTACGTATACTACAAACATTGACGAACTTCGCCAAATGCTCAAAATGTTTGGTCATTTCTGTAGCTAAGATCATGTCAATAACATTATACCTTACGATTTTGTAAGTTTCTGCATCTAAATTCTAAAGTAGACAATTCAGATTAGTATATAATACCAGTATTATGAACATGTGTAATCGGTAAGAATTCCTTATTCGTTTTACGTTTCAATGACGAGTGGGCGTTATAAATAATAACAATTCACCTTAAATATATTGACATCCTCATCAGAAAGCGTCAATCGGAACGTTAATGCAGCATGATGAGATTCAAGTACGGACAAATCATTGTACAAAATGGCCAGTTTATTTCCAGCATTGCATAGAAATTGACTAAGACAAAATATATGATCACAATATGAATAAATTCTATTATTATGAATATTATTATAAAGCAGTGTATTGTTTAATATGTACTTAGTAAAAGGATTTTTTTAATTACTATTAAAAAAAATTAATTACAATTAAAAATTTTGTTAATGTGTTCTTAATTATATTTTCCTAAATAAAGTCGTACAATATTGAAATCCTTTTATTGATTTTCCAAAAGATACTTTAAACTTTTTAAAATCTTTGTTTATTATGCGCTTAATACTAATTTTTATAGATAATTTAATTTACTTATGCCTATTATTGTCTACAAAATTTATAATGAAGTAATAAAAATTACTCTTTTGAAAATATAAATATTATATATTAATGAATTTTGAGAATGAAGTTTAAAAATAAAGTTGTTACAGCACCAGATTTTTTTTGTTCTTAATCTTTAACATATTAATTTATAAAAATAAATTGTTTAAATTCATAAATTATACTGTAAGGATAATGAAATCTTTTTAAGAAATTTTTTAAAAGTAATATTAAGTTAAATTTATCGTAAATTTAATATTGCAAATATGGCTTGTATTGTTTTAAATTAAATATACTACAAAAACTTATCTAGAAATATATCCTCATTATTATCAGAATTCGATAAAGTAATTCTACATGTTAGTGGATAAATTATGGATTAATAAAATTTCTCTAACATTTATCATGATTACAATTTTATTTTATTTTAATATACCTACAAGTCTTACAAGTTTTTATCATTAAATTATTTGAAAAAATTATATCTACTGAAATTCAAATTATTGATTATTATATTTTAAAATTATTAATATCTAAAAATAGAAATTTAAAAATGATCGAGAGTTTAAAATAAATTAATAGGAATGTGAATGAATTCAGTTTGTTCAATTACTTCAATTTCAATTCTATATTCTAATATTTAATTTAATGTTGTTGCTTAAAATTTAAATTAATTGTTTTCATTCATACGTAGTCAGATTAATATTTAAATAGTTTTAAAATAAATCGATATTAATATCATTATTAATATTAATTAGGAAAATTAATTAAATGCATTTGCTAATGCTGATTATATTAAAGACTGAACATAGAGCAATAATTCCATGTCTTAAATATAAAATGGAGGTCACATTTTACTATCAATATAATAATTTATTGGTTGTTTTTATATATTGTATATTTTTATTATAATTAAATATTCAAAAAATCCAGTTAAAGCAATTTTAAAACGCTAAATAAACCTACATATATTTATATCGTTCTAACTAAAGTTACTTCCATACTTTACATTTAGGTATATTTTTTGTAAAAAAAACGTGAATTTGAACCATCTTAATTGATTTAATTGAAACATTAGTAAAGTTTTTAAAAATATTTGTTAATAAAAATAATTTAGTAACTTATTTTCATTTAAATATCTTCTTAATATGACCTTAAATTATGGAAATCAAAATATTTTTCGTCACCCGTTGCGTGACATTGTATATATATCAAGGCTAGAAGTTTTAATTTCAAAAGTTATAAAGAGTTAACATTTTCAATTCTCGATTGCATTTATATCTCGATGTCAAAATCTAGGTATAAATGCGAGGGCGGCTACCTGGACTTGCCGGGATGGTCGATGTCGTGTGCTGCCGCGGCGACGAGTGCTGCAACCTCGTCGAGGGGATCGAGGAGAACTTTAAGTCTGTCAGATTCCATGAAACGGGCAGTCGCTTGAAGCACATCCGCAGCGTGGGTTGAATTGTGATAACTGTTAGCTACATTATAGTTGACCTCTATGACAGTTAGCCAATTTTGCAGCGTGCGCTCGTCACAATTGAGACGGGCCGGAACACTGTAGCGATTCATTAGGTTCATCCCCAGATAGTAGAGAGGCCTGTCCAAGATATTTCACTGGTTAAAGCAGGGAATATTATATTTTTCTTAATATACTTATTTCATAGATTTTAATCAAATGTAGAGGAATTGATTTCCGTAGAAATTAAATAAACGAAAAATATAATGGTCGATTATTGATGATAATAGAATCGTCCATTCTAAATAATGTAGATAGTCAAATTTATTATATTTAAAATTTAATTCTAAAGGTATAATATATTTAAATTTCAGCATACTACGTCTTTTAAACTCCAAAGAACGATATCCGTGTACAATAAATTGATTTCTTATGTATTTTTTCATCGTTGTAATTTGATTAGATATTATATTTTTAAGGCTCAAGTGCAATTTTAGGATCACTAAAATGTGAAAAAGAGAAAATGACAAGAATTGTAGAATATCGTTGGATTAGATTTACCTTCTACCCGATAATAGTTCAAGTCGAAAAATGTCAAATTCCCAATTGAAGCAGCCGTCGAGGAGTATCTCGATGTCGCGCGGTGCCCTAGGACTCTTAGACATTGTCTTCAATGGTTGCTGGTGTAATATTCTCTGAACCTGGGACACGCGCCCAGATGAGTCGTTCGATGACCTCCGCGAGTCCCGCGAGTATTGCGGTGCCTTAACCGTTAAATTTCAGGATTACAGCGAAAGCTTATATTGCGATTGTAAATTCAAATCTAATGCGACAAAATATCATTGCTTCGCAAATTTTGACAATGTAATTTTTACATAAAAATGAAAAAAAGCGAAGAAAAAAGTATTTTGTTAATGAATAATATTTTCAGAGAACACTGTTTATTTTTTGTTTGTTAATTTAAAACAAATTAATTTAAGTATTTCCTTATATAGAATTTTTTTGTAGAAATAACGTAAGTGCCGAGCTTTATAAGAAATTTATTAACATTTAAGAATTTTTTCAAACACATTGCAAATACGCAATTTAGAATATGCTGAGCTTATTCAAAGTAATATTTAATTAGGTTCTATCGAGTATAAGCATTTTATTATGTAAAAATTTAATTCTCGATTAAATTATCTACGTAGTAGATATTGAAATTCAATTAATTAATTATCTTTGATATTATTCACATAGATATAAAATATTTGATAATATATTTTTTAGTAAGACAGATATTAATAATTTTTGAACGAATACATTGAATAGATAAAAGTGTTCAAAAAAGATAAAAGAAAGAGTACATAGTTTTTTTCCTGTAAAAGAGGCCTATTTAAATTGTTAGATTTCTACAAATTACTTTATCTCCTACACTCTTTGAAATATATTTAAAATGAAGCTCGGATCTAATAAAGAATAAAGATGCTTATAATAAAAATTAAATACGAGAGTACAGATATAATTATATGAAATACGACTGAATATTTTTACGCAATTAATTGTTTTGTTGTAGTCAATTTAATAGCAATGAAGATAAAAAAAAAGGATTTTACACATCTAAAAAAATTGAGATAATATTGTAAAATAATTCGTAAAATACTTTATCTTTAATACTAAATAATATTGTTGCTATTATTATATTTAATTTGCTAATAAAAATGTGAATATTTTTTTTACCGTACTTAAGGTTTAAAAACAAAGAGATGAAGGAAAGACCGCTTTTACTCACCGATATAAGAGCACCGATGAGATCAGAAGTGACTGGGTCATTGAAAATCTCATCAGCTTCCCTGACGTAGGGTTCGTAGAGTTCTGTTGTCTTCAATATTTCGATGGCCTAGAGCGAGACATTGTAGACAGTCTCGTCTCGCTTGAAAAGAGGAGCTAGGAAAGCTACTCGTATTAAGTGGAGGCGCACGCGCCTGCTTAACTTATCCTTGTGTAATCATGGCATTCCAAAAAGTGCAATTTCGAATTTCGAGCAGACGCCATCCAGCACGAAAATTCGTCTGTGAGTCGAAATATTGAACTTGCACTTTTGTCGCAAAGGTAGAAGGTAATGTTAAACGATTTTAGCTAATTTCAAATACTTAGTTGAATTATTCAAATTTTACCTATAAAACAAACTTTATCTAAATGATGATCAACATTATTTATGAAATATTGATAAAGAATTGCAGAGTTAGCATACAGAGCTTAATAAATATCAAAAGATTATTTTACCTTTTGATCATCGCATTGCGAACCTACAAAATCCATATTCTTAATTTAACAATAGACGACATTAAAATTTATTTTAATTTTTCTATAACACTACTTTTAACGAATCTTAAAATGTTTCGAAATAAGCAAATGAAAAATTGTGACTAATGCTCTTGAAGCTTTATCATTACAATAATCACTATTATAATAAATACGATTTAACAATACTGGTTACTAAAATTAATTAAAAATATTTATATTTGTTAAAATTAAATTAAAAATTATTTTATAAAATCCTATTTTCTCTTGAAAATAATGCTTATTAAATTTATTTACTTTAAAAATATATGCAAGTTTTGCTAAAAGTAAAAATTTTTGCACATGAATTGATATAATGATGAAAGTTTTCTTTAAAATATTAGAAAAGCCTTTTGAGTACTTATATATTCAATTTATTGCTTTAAATTCAAAAAGTGACACTGTATTAACTAGGTGAATTATATTCAATTATATTTTTTATTAGATATTTTATTAATTTCAAATGTTAGGCACTTAGGAGCGCGATTTTTTAATTATAATAAAACCGATAGAATATTATAATTAACTTAAAGGTTACTACAATAAGATTATATTGTGATAAATGAAATTGAGTATGATTAAAAGTGTCTATTCTATATTTATAAGATGCTTTGTCAATATTCTAATACTTAAAGTGCAATTATTACTTTATTTTAGCAACTGTAAAACTTGTAAATATAAATTTTTAACCATAACCGCATAAATGTAGGCAATATAAATCATTCGCTTATATTAAATTTAAAATCTTTTTCTTTGAGCTTCATGCATTATAGAAGTATTTTTACAAACTTTGTCAATTTGTGCTACCACATCTGGACTGACAGCATCTGTCATTGCAGTCGTCAATAACGATATAACTTTTGTGATTGGAGCTTCAAGAGGTAAATTGTGCAATTTTGCTACACTACTTCTCCTTTGTACTGTAAAAAATATTTCGTTATAATAACGTATTTTATATTAAATGATTATATTTGATACATTTTTTAAAATTTGTTTGGATTGAAAAGAAAGTTCATTTGATTGTTAGTCAAGAATTTAATTTTCAACGATTTAAATTTCAACGTAAATACCAACTTTAATATTAAAGCTTAAATTGAGGATGAAAATTAAAATTGCTATTTTAAAAAACAAATATAAATAAAAAACAATATAAGTAGCATATTTTCTTTTTATCTAAATAATCGATAATACAAGTATTAAGAAAGATAATTCACTTACAATCACTACCTACGGAGCCAATATCAAAAGAACGTAGCGAATGTGAACTTCCTCTAGGATGCAAATGTGATGATGATGTTGATGTCACTTCTACGTTTTCCAATAAATAAGTAGTATCATAAATATAAATATAATGAGTAGGCCTCCTACAATATAAAAATGAAAAAAATTGTACATCAATTAACTGTGATTGCATTGCAAAGTGAAATTTTAAATATAATTATTTTTTCATAAACGAAGTGGTTGTTGCAAAAAATTTTTAATAAAAGGTTCAAATTGTATATAATTAATGAATTTTATAAAACGAATTCCTATGAATTAATCAAATTATATTAACACCTTTACAGATGCAAACCAATAGGGATTCATTTAAAAGAGGCAATAAAATTCTTATAATTTTTAAAATAAAATTTAGCTATATATTTATATTTAAAAATAATAAATTACCTTCCATATGCACAAAATGGAATTATTCTGGAACTGATCATTATTGTTTCATCAGATTTTCTTTTACAATTCATATTACCATGGAATTCTCGACCCTTTTGTAACTGCTGATTCATTAGCGTAAAATTTTCACATATAACAATCTCAGAAAGATTTTTGTTTAGTAGTTCCTCCAATTTGTAGCCCAATAATTTCTCACTTACTTCATTTGCAAACTGTAAAAATAAATACAAAAGTAATATGAATAATTTAACGAAACACTAATTTACAAATAAAATACTATTTACAAATTTTCATGTATCGTACTTTTTAACATATAATTATAATTATTAATCATCATTCTAAAACTGATATTTTAATTTTTCTATTAATGAATAACATTTTGATATTATTTATATAGTTTTATGTGCGTAGAATATGCGTGAAAAAATAATATGTTTCACTTTTGTTACAAAATTTGAAAAATGTATACTGCTTTTTTATTTAATATTTAAACTTTCTTCTATAATTAAAATATTTTAAGATTATTTAATAAATTATAGATATCTAAGTAATTTCTAACATTTATGAATTAATTCAAATGAATTTTAAGATTTAAAAATCCAACCCTACATAAATATTCAGTTCATCATTGTTATCTATTTGAAATGGTTTAAACTTTATATGTAATTTGAATAAATCTGATAATATAAAGATTTCTAATTATAAATATTATTTATATTTTAATATAAATCGTTTATATGTAAACAAATTTGCAATGTTATTATAATTAATATTTTTACTCAATCTGTATAATGATTGAAAGGTTAGAAAGATTATTAAATAAACAAATTTTTTTTTTTAATTATTAATGGTATATAAATACATTTTTCTTACAATTTATTCCATGTATCCATATATATTGTGATCCATATAAAAATTAATATTTCAATATAAATATCAATTAGTTCTGTAAAAATTAATGGTCTTAAATTATAAGATATATTTATAAAAATAACGATAAAATGATATCAATTAATAATAAATTTATAATAATATATTTATAAGGATATTTAAGTCATAAATTTAAAAATGTCATATTATTGAGTTACAGTTTAAAAATAAAATACATAATCTGGATAAATACAAATTTTTAACATTATGTAATAGAAAGAAGATAAAAGAGTAATTTAAAAATATAAAAAAACTATTGTGAATTTTATTAAAACTTTTATTGCATTATACTATTAATTGAAAATTAATTAGGAACAAGTTTATATACAACATTATATTTGATTGATTTAATCATAATTGACCATTAAGGAGGAGTGCGAAATAACAGTAAAATATAACCGATAATTGATTATAAAAATATATTATTATATTATTATAAAATATAAAAATAATTTATAAACAATATATATATATATATAAACAATATATATATAATATAATAATTTGATATATATGATATATCTAATTTAAATAATAATAGTTCTTGCAATAATTTGTTTAAAAATTTAATTCAATGATAATTTTCATATTCTTTGAATGATTTATCCTTCTTCTTGCTACTTCTTATTAAATTTTTGTCATTCACTTTGATAACATAAAGTTTAAATAATTTGTCATTTATATAACATATTTTTTTAGTCTTGATTATTTATAATTAAATCTATTGATTATTTCAATGAATCTATTTCGAATATACTTATATAAATTTTATATTATCAATAATTTTACATAAATTTTGATTTAATGATAATTTAATCATAAATTTGATTTTTTTTTTAATGTCATTTGACAATAATAACAAATTAATTGAAAATATAATAATACTTAACTATTTCTTATTTTACGAGAGATAAGTTTATCTTATCAGTATTTAAAGTTTTTACGTGATAATTAATACTAGAAAAAATTCAAATATACAAATAAATAACAGATGAATAATCTAATAAATTATACTCATTTAAATTATTATTAAAGTATTGAAATTACCGAATACATAAGTATATACAATTTGAAAAAATATAATCTTTTAAATATCTTAAACATTTTTATAAATGTATTAAATTGCACAAGTATATTTTTTACTTTATTGTCATTTTTGAGTTTATTATGGTAAATTTCAGATTATGTTTAAAAATTCCTATAAATAACATAAAATGTCGGGTATTTATATATATGATGTAAATTTTTGTAAATTTTTATCTAATTATTATATAAACTAAATTAGAATTTAATATTATATATATAATTTAATATTTTATACATAATTTAAAGATTGTAACAAATTTAAGGAAATTATTGAAATATAGAAAATTTTAAATATAATTTTCAAATAACACTATAAAAAATGAAATATGATTTTAAAATATTTTCTTGCTTCTTTCCCCGTTGACGTATAAATTCTTTTTTGAGTTGTATTATACATTATTTCAAAGATAGATTACCACATTTGAATAAATATTTATTTTATTGAAAAATAAAAAAATCGATCGATATCATAGCGATTTTGAGAATAACAAACTCTTTCTTTGTATCTATGATGAAAAATAAAAGTCTTACCTGAATAAAATGTCGATCGTTAGTCACATGAACCATATCGCGGCACCTATGAACGGCCAAGTATAACGAATGAGCAACTGCCAGTTGAAGCTTCGGTTGTACTTCATTAGCGTAAATCCCAATAAGCTCGTTCATTACGATTTCTGTACTCGAACACTCAATAAGTGCCTTAAGAACAGTGAAATAATTTTCAATACAAGTAAATATATCAATGTTACACGGAACTTTCTTTTAGCCCTCCGATTGCTCAATTTTTTGCTTCATTGGAGGAAAGAAAAACCTATTATATATTGTCTCAATAGCCTTACTAGTATAAAGTAATTATTTAAAATCTTTATCAATGCGAGTTTGTAGCATACTTTATCGAAATTGATATCAATTTACAACTAACATAAATGTTATTGTTAAAAAATTAATTCGGAAATAATACTCGTTAAAAGAGACATTAGACATTACATAGTTAAGTACATCACTAGTAGTCCAATAATATATTTTATAATGATATAGAATTGCGAATTGCTCTTATTAAATAATTAAAAAATTAAGATTAAAAATCTAATTCAACATTATAAAATTAAAATCAAATAAATATTTGATTTCATTTAAATTGCAAGTAAAAATGAATAGAAAGAAAGATATGTATAGTCACATTTCATTAAAAATAATTCCATTTATGAGTAATATTAATAAAAGTAATTTAAATTTTCATTTGAATTAATGTGTCGATATTTATAAAATATAAAATATAAATATAATATTCCATAATTATTGCATAATGTTGAATATAATTTATTGTAAAGTTATCTTTTAAGTATGTTAAAAACATTAATTTTACCCTATTGTATCCATTATCAAGTACTTGCAAGGTGGAAATTTTATCTTGATCAGATACTGTAAAAAATCTGCAAATATATCATTCACTAGTCAAAAATTGAAAAAAAAATTCATAATAAACAAAAACATTTCAATGAACTACTTACGATTTTTTTACAATGGCTATTATAATTGATGCCTGATGGTGTATATTATTTAGAGCCCTAAAATTCATGTAAATTATTAACTTTCTATAAGTGAATGTAAGGACATTATGTAATATTCATAATAAGTTAGGTACATTTGAAGATAATTAGATAAAAATATAGAAATGTAGTTATGTAAAAATAAGAATCATTCATAATGGAGTTTTATTATTAATATATTTATTTTGCAAATTATTGAAAGTAATAATATATTTTTTTTTAATAAAATTAAGTAGAAAAATATATAAAGCTCGATGAACAATAAAATATTTAAACTAACTTACTTAAAATTGAAATTTTAAATAGATTTAATTTAAAAATTCTGATAAATTTGTAAGCCAATAATATTGTTTTTGAAGCCATTATTTATAAGAGTCGTTTCATAATATTTACGTACTTCGATTTACAAAATACTTTTATTATTTCATTAGTGCAGTTTTTTATTTTAAAACATTTTCAGATATGCGGGTATAAATTGTTTGGGAAGAAAATAAAATAAGAAACTAATGATAAGTGTCAAGACGTGAGATTAGCCATATGTATTATAAGGATTTTTCGCTGCTGGGTGATATATTTAAGAAAGAGGGCTGGGTAACTACTACATATGGACCTAAAATCCTAAAATTCAAGTATAAAGAGAATGTAAAGCCTTTTAAACGATTAACAAAAAGATGCTTAAATGTTCAGAGAACAAAATGAAAACCTGCATATCTCGTCAGCCTGCTGGCAATACCTTCCCCTTCGATCGATAATTACAATTTCGTGACAGCGAGCTTGAAATTGATCAAGTGCTTCCTCAGTATCCCGCACTTCCGTCACGTACCACCCGAGTCTCTCGCATGCCAATCCGATTACCTCCGCTTGTCTTTCACCTCGGGGAAATGCCAATAGTACCTGTATATTTATTTGATGGAATGATTAGATTTACTAGATATTTTTCCTATTTCTTCTAAGTTGCCACCGTAGCTCGCTTATCTGAAATTGAGTAAGCTTGCATCTTTTGATATATTACTCATTCGTTGGTAATAAATACCGTAAATTTAAATTGAGTTATTTAATGAAAAAAATTATGTTTAAAAATGAAGTTATTAAAATTAGTGAACTAATGTAGATCTTTTAAAAAATTAATATAAAACGTTATTTTAAAATACATATTAGTAATTAAATGTTTGTATTGTGGTCGTTTATTTGATGAATGTTTGACATCACGTATTATACTACCGATTTCTGTTCAGATTAATCAGAATAGTCGTATATATTTTTTCTCATATATTTTCTTATATATTTTCTAATTTAATAAGTTATATAGATGAGATAATTACTAATTATTACGTTCAAAATTTGAAAGATTTAAAAAAAATGAATCTTGATGTCTGTTTATATCTCGAAATGTTTAGTAATTAGAAGATTCCATTAAATTAGATAAAATTATAAATATCTTTTTAAATAAAATTATTATTAATAATCTTTGTGTTGATTTCTAAAATTATAAAAAGATTTTTAAAATTTTTATTATATATCCTTCAGTTGATTATTGACATTTTTTTGTATCTTCAAAAATATTTTTATTTTAATAATTATTCTTTTTTATACATTCATTTTTATATATTTTTATTATAATTATAGCTGAATCATATTTTTACTTAAATTTTAGCTTGGATGTTGAATTTTATTTTGACTATTTTATATTGAATATATTCAATGCATTAACTGTATATTATTCTATTAAATAGATTTTGTATTTAATATTTCACAACGTTCCACTACAATTTTGTTATTATTTTATTAAATTTTTAATTTCAATTTTGAATTCATATATTTCATAATCTGTACAAAATTTAAATAATATTATATATTATAAATATGTCTGTGTATGTATTTATATTATTTTTAATTTTTTTTATAAAATAAATGCAACTAACACTAAATTATTTTATAATTATTTATTATGAAAGATTTAAATTAAATTATTATTATTAAAATTATTATGCTTGTCGGATATTGAAAACTTTGATGTACTTTATATCATTATATATTTTCATTAAAATACAGTGAAATAACCTAATTGCTTAGATTTAATTTATGTATTCTAATAGTATAGAATTTAATAATTTAATACTTTAATTACAAAATAATTTAAAATCGGATCAAATACTAAATAAATTGATAGAACCGAATATATAATTATAATACCTTTACATAATTGTAAATTAAATTGTTTTTGTACTTCATATATAAATAGACCAATTAAAATGTTTACATTTTAAATATATTTTATTATTAGTTTAATATTTATTATGTAATGAATTTTTTACAATTACTTTAGAATATAAAATTTTTTTAGAGCAGCCCTTGTTTGTTATTAACAGTAAATAATTTTTATACTATGCTTATTGAAAGTTAATAATGAGTAATTTGATTTATTCATTTGATATTTTTAGTTTGCAAACATTTATTTTAATCTTTATACCCTATATAAAAATTCCTATTTTATATTGATTTATAAAATCATATCTGATTATTCACGTTGAATGTTTATTGTTTCTCATATTTAAAATTTATTATATTTAGTCTTGATATTTAGTATTGATATTCATAATTTCAATCTCTAAATTGTATTCTGCTTTCATATATTTTGTTTTTATTTTTTACCTTTGATTGATACCGATGATATTTTAAAAGCTTTATTAAATATTATATACTTGATAATTGGTGTAGTATGTCTGATTATAGAATTGTCCAAATTAATTTTTAATATGTAGTGCAAAATTAATATTTTATTCTTTAAAAAGTAGTCACATTTGTATTGTGTATGGATGAAGAATCATTTATTAATTATCATTATCTAATAATTGAATTCTATAATATTCTATATTTCTGCTGAATATATAATTAAAAATTTTTCATATATTTATATACGAGTACTTAAAATAGAATACTATTTTTTAATATAAAGTTATTCAATAACAAATAAATGATGTAGTTTTACTATAAATTATTGTTATACAATACATTAATATGTATATGTATATATGTATATATATACATTCATATTAATGTACGAAAATAGAAGCATTGGGATATGTTGTAAATTATAGTATCCATATTTTTATGTACTTTGTAGGCATATTATGTAACAATATGTAATATTGGAAAATATTAATTCTTAAATTGCACTCTACGTAATTATTTAATATATAAGAAATTGGAAAAATTAAAAAAAATTGGTTTAATATAAATTTTAGTACTTATTGATTTCGTTACTTTGTTTAGTATTAATTCTATTTAGTATTAAATTCAAAATTTATTTAGGATTAATTGTTTTAATATGTTCAATTTTTATAAGAATATAAAAAATTTTTTTAATTTATTTAACAATAATTATAATTCATAGTACTTAAATCATTATATATTAAATATTTGTATAAAATATTTCTTATTTTAATCTATAATCTAATCTGGTAAAAAATATATTATATGGTTGCAAATAAAAAATTTTTAGGAAACTATTCTTGGAATATTTTTGTGAATAAAAATTTACAAATTAGTTTAATTTTTATTATATACTTTAACATGATCTGGCGCTGAACTGCTTATCAACCAATTGCAACCAACATCACTTGGCCCCTTCTGGAAGATTAAAACATTAACTGGATTAAAAATTACTTAAATAATAAAGATATAATAAATATGTATTGTTAATTTCAATATTTTAAATTAAATTATTTCAATGTGATTTTTTTAAACATATTTTATTTTAATTAATTAATTAAAATTATTAATTATTAATTATTAAATAATATAACCGAAATGATATAAATATGTAATTAATTTAATATTTCAGATCCACGCAACATCCCTTATATATGATATTATTTCCCAGTAAGTTGATTAATTAAATGAAGTTGGTCATTAAAGAACGAAATTTAAATATATACATGCAATGACGAAATAAGTAAAAACTAGACGAAATATATTTAGTCTTAGTTATAAAGAATATAAAAAATATCACGGTATATTTTTATTCGAACATAATAAGTATAAAATTAATAAGTATAAAATTAATAAAAGTTAAATATATAATTATATTAAAATATTTTGAAAACAATTCAATAAAAATTATTCAATAAAAAAGATATATTGGATATAAATTTCTACTCCTAACGTGATAAAAAAACAAACATTATCTACAATTAATGCAAAAAAAGATAAATAAGTATTTTAAAATAATTAAAGTTAAGATAAAATCAAAGTGCTTTTAAAATAAATACTTTGGCATTCTAAATCTTGTTAAATAATATGGAAAAAATTTAATTCAGTCAATTAACCGATAACGTATGTATTATTTTCTTATGATTGAGATAAATTTTTTAATAATAAATAGTGTCGTACAATTAGTTCATTTTTATCATTTTCTTGCTATTTATTTAGAAATTTTATTATTTTTACTTAATTTTTATTCAATATTAAAAATTTAAAAAATAGATGCATATAATTATTTTATAAAAATATTAAATTATAAAAACATTATATAGATATAAAAGGTAAATATAATAACGGATTATTATGCTATTAAAGTAGCTACAATCACTAGTAAGACATCTAAATTTTATCCTCTTATAATAACTAAATATAAAAAGTAATATAAGAATTATGAAAACATTAACAGGTTATATTTACAACAGAATAATTAGTATTTGTGTAAAATAAAAATAATTAATAAATAATTTAGAATATAATAACTTAAAATAATTGAAAAAGTTAAAAAATCGTTATCTTATAAGTTGAATAAATATCAATAGTCATATTTTTTAATATTTATTTATAATTCAATCGTTTATTATGTAATTCCACGTAAAAAATCGTATTGAAAGGCAAGAAGTTTGAAAGAAAAAACTTTATTTTATTCGCCATCATTATAAAGATAATATCATTATTTGGAATATGAAGTCATTAAAATAATTAAAAATTTTAATTTAAAAAATTTGTTTTAATTCATTATTTAATAATAACAATTTTGGCTCATTCAAAAAAGATATAAATATTAATTGAAAACTTCGAAAGAAGAAAAAATAATGATTGTTGAAATATTTTAATGTTTCTAATGAAATTTAGCTGACAGGAATTGAGAAGAAGAATTTATAACAAAGACTTTCTAAAGAATGTATTAAATTATTATAAATATATAACAAACTAAATAAATTAAATCTAATATAATAAAAGAATTTTATACTGTATAGAATTAAAAACCGATGCTGAATATCAATAAATATAATCTAGAATAAAACAGATTGAATTTGAATTCATTTATTGATAATTTGAATTAAATTATGCAAATATAAAATTAATACCTACATATGTAGATTCTAGAAATAATCATCTTTATTAATATAACGTGATTATGCTAAAATAAAATATTGAAAATTGTAAATTAAATAATAAATAGTATATAAAATAAATAGTGTCTTTATATTTGAACACTATTAAAATTAAATGTAATATGAAGATAAAAACTGATGGAATAATGTTTAACAGATTATATTAAAAATCCTTATTAAAATAGTTATTCTAATCAATACTTATCTCAAATAAATGCAATAAACTTAAGGGAGCTGGTATATTTTATAAATCAATGTTTTCAAAGTACTGAATATGTGTTTTCTATTAAAAAGTTATTCATATTATGTGTTTATTTAGCAATCAATTATACATTGATTGCAGTATACATTGAAATAAAAATAATATAAAGAATACTAAGAATTTTACTTATTTTACTTCATCAAACTGACATTTTAACAAATTTCAGATAAATTATGTTTTTTATTTATATATTATTTATATTATATTAAATATATAACAATTATATACTTATTTAATTGAATTTAAGCAATTGATAAAATGCTGAATTACATTTTATTTCTTAGATTTTACATAACATTTGTAAGATATATTAGAAATAATAACACGCTATGATTCGTCGGTTATTAAGTTTAAAAAATTCATGGCATTGTTATTTTTATTATAAATAATACTATATTATGGTTTTCTAAATTTATGATGCATAATATTTATATATAATATTTAATTATATATAATATTTTTTCATGTTTCATATATTTATATATAATATTTTTAATTTATTAAAAATTAAAACTATAAATAATTCACGATTGAAATTATAATCTATAAGAGAATACATTTTATAAAATTATTATTAACAAAATATTGTCAATTAATGCACACTTTAAGTAGATAATAAATATATACATATAATAATAATATAAATGAAGATTTAATTTTGAAACTTATGACTTATAGGAATAACAATTAATTTTATATTAAAATATGAAATAAATTGTATATATCGAATTATCTAGTAATAATTGTAAGTTTAAAGACTTAAATATAAGTTACATAACAGTAAAATAAAACCACATCTATATGCGTAAACAATTTTTACTTAATAATCCTTCAAAGAAGGTAAAATAATTTTACATTTTATTTTAAACTCTACCTTCTCCAAATAATAGTGTAGAGAAAATGAAATTTTTATTTATATAAAATATAAGAATTTATTTAATTTAGAATTTATAAAATTACTAACAAAGTGGTATTAAAAAAAATGTCAATGCTATGCAATTATAAAAATACTAAATTATATAATTATAATACAAATATTAATAATATTATATATGTCACACATATATAAATATTTTATATACTCTTATGTTCCGAGTTTTTATGCTGTTGTAATTCAAATGTACTATGCGATATAACAATGCATTTATAAAATTATAAGAAAGTTGTACCTTACTTCAATATCTTGTATTAGCAATTATTTACAAGTTGAAAGATATATAGAAATTAAAGGAGCAAATACAAATAAATAATTAAAAATGAAATGGATTGAAAGGTAAACTACTAAAATGTAACGACAATGAAAAAATTCAGTTTAGTTACTTAAAAGAGAGCGAAAAGATAAATTGATATATAACAGAATGATGAAATAAGTTTTAATTGTATTTAGAAGTAATTCTAGAAATATGGACCAAAAATAAATATATGTAAGTAAAATCAATATATGTAAAAGAAAAGTATATAGGAAATCAGCATTATTTATTTTAATAGATATGTAATCAATTTATGTTAAAATAAGCAGATCGTTCCGATTTTCGAAAGCTTGAATTTTTCTGTCTAAATAAGATATTAGAAATTAGAGTATAATAAGAAATCACAAAATTTAATTTTAATTTAGAATACAGTGTTTTTAAACGAGAATTTAATAGATCAGAGAATGCAATTTAAATGCAATTGTTCATTATAAATACCAATTAAATAAAAATATTCACGCAATAACAAAAATAGAAACCAGTAAAATAAATTGAAATGAGCAAAGAATTACTACTTGGCATATAAAACTTGTAAAAACGGTAAAACTTTACATTAACCTACATTTTAAAAATATTTATATATTGTCAAATATCTTATAATTATCTTAATATACTGATATTATAAAATCTTGTATAATTTTAGCATAATTAAGTAAAAATCAAGAAATATATTACCTAATTTCATTGAAAAATGAATACCAAGACGCTTATTCCACGAAATTTTCATATTTTATAATATTTTAATTGACAATACATTTTAAATATGTTTAGTTCCAATATTTTTTTTAAATTACTAAATTTAAATTACATTCAACTATTAGAAACTTTGATAGTTACTTACAATCTGCTGCATTTCCACCTCTTCAATAGAATTTCTTTGACCCGTAAATATTTTTTCCTCTCTTGATTGACCGGAATCATTGCCATTAGTTTCCTGTCCTAAAACAAAAATCGATTTAAATGTACTAAAATTTATGATTAAGTATATATTAAAAATTTAATGTGAATTTGTATACTTTAAAGATGATTAATTGTTGTGTCTATTATAATATGAAAAAATTAATCATCTTATTATAGTATCTAATGATATATTGTATGATATTTAATACGTGTCATCAATAATTATTTATAATAATTAAGTGATCGAAAAATTGCTTAATTTTCTTTTGTTATAAACACAACTTATTATAAGAAAAAATAATATGGTTAATAGTATAGCCTAGTTATCAATAAAAAATAGTATTAGAAAACTTAATGTAAAAATTCAAATTATTTCGACATATGTTATTTTATACAAATATTGAGAAAGCTTAATTTATAAAATATTATGATAGTTCATAATACAAGTAAAGAAAATCATATTAAATTAAAAATATAAAACTATATAAGAAGTAAGAAGTTAATTAAATCAATAATAAATATTGAAAAAATAAATAAATACATAAGCATGAGCAAATTAAAATTTCGAAATTCTATATTTTTAATATATTTAATATATTTAATATCTAACTTTAAAAGTCAATAAATTTAAAATATAAGACTTGATATGATGAATATGTCCACATTCTTAATAATTAATAAAAAGTAATTATATTTGTAGAAATAGAATTTAAAATTTGTATCAAAAATAAAGTTTTAATATTAACGATTATATTTAAAATACAGAATAATGGACTAAATATAGAATAGAGGAAAGTATATAAGTACAACAAAACATTTTTAGTAATTCCTCTAACATTATTAGTACGATAAATTGGCTGTTAGTTAAGATGAAAATTAGTTACATAAATAGATAAGTATATATATATATATATATATATATCTATATATATATATAGAGAGAGAGAGAGTATCAGTATTAACATAAAGAAAAATGATTTATTTATATATAAACTGAATTAAAGAAAATAAATAATATTTGATAAATCATCAGTATCTACTTGAGATTGATAAAAGTAATATATAATGAAATATTATATATCATTATCATAATAAGCATTGTAAATATCAAAGTTATAAGTTATAAAATAGTCGATAAAACTTTTATGTGCGATTATGTGAGCCATATCAATTCATTAATGGAGGAAAAATATTAAATTTAATATTCTATTTTAAAATAAAATTAACTATCATCGTCTTAATTTTATAAATTTATAGTTTTTAATATTTAATTTTCAATATTTTATTAATATTGATAAAAGAATACTCAAAAGTTTTTGTTTAGTAATATTCATCATAATCTAATAATTTATTTTATATATGTATACTATATCATTTTTGACCCTATAGTATTAATATTATATACCTGTTTAATTTATAAGTCATATAAAATAACATAATAAATTATTAATTTTATTTTGCACTATTAAACAAATTTATAAAAAAAAATCTTGTTCATATAAATGATTTAGGAGATTATAAATATTATAATCTAATTATTCAGCATGTCTTAACACCCCATACTAATCTAATTTCGATTTCCAACCTTATACTATGATATGAACGAATAATCAAGGTATGATTTGTTCAGAGATTACAGATCATAAAAAAAAATATTTCTGAAACCAAAATATCAATCGATTCGACAATGAGGCTATTGTAAACTGATTCTATCATAGCCGTTACGAAATAATATAAAAGGTTCGTCTTACATATCATATTGTGAGTCTTCAAATTACCATTTTTTTTAATCGCATATTAAAATGCGTGTAATATATTAAGTGAAAGTATCACAACCTAACGGTTGTCTCGGTACTGTACCCTACACGGTCAATCACTTTGATTTTAGTATATACCTTTTAATCCATAAAAATTTACTTCTTTATAATAGATTATTGTTATTTAAGAATATATAAAAAGATATAAAAATATTTCATGCGTTTCGGCACCTATAAAATTATATATAAGATTTTATCAAAGAAAAATAAACCACTTAACTATGTAAGTAGCAACATATGATTTTAAATGCTCAAATTTAGTTGCTAATTGAATTATTTATACCGTCTTGATGAAAGTTATAAAACGAAGATTTTATAGAATACTTTGATTGATTTCAAATTTACATAATTAATTCGTTACTAATTAATATTTTTACATTACATATATTTTTACATTTTTACATTATTTAGAAGATATTATTAGCAAAAAGCAAAGTATAATTAGCAAACTGTCATAATAAAGTAACTAATAAAATATGAATAATTTAATTTTAATAAAAATAGGCAAAATTTTTTATAATAAATACAACTAATTATATTAGATATTGTTAATTAAATAATATGAAATCTATGGATATCTAAAAAATTTAAAAACCAGTATAATATAAAAATGTATTATATTTACATAGTATTTAAGTTCATAATTAAGCATTATGTTTAAATAGTATTGGAGGTGACTTCGGTATAACAGTATTATTCAATCATTTAGGATATATATGTATAAATATTTATTTATTATAATAAAACATAAATAGAAATATTAGTCATTATAA